TTGAGGTTACACCCTACATTACTTGAGGAAGCTCCCCCTCAAACACCCTATACTACTTGAGGCAGCTCCCCCTCTAACACCCTAAACAACTTGAGGTAGTTCCCCCTCTAACTCCCTACACTACTTGAAGTAGCCTTCAGAGAGCAAGGTTCCTGTTGACTCGAGTCAGGGTCAATGTCTACCTTATTTATGTTTTAGTGAAATGTTCTTGTAGCTCCCCCTCTAACACCCTCTACTACTTGCGGTAGCTCCCCCTCTAACACCCTTCACTACTTGAGGTAGCTCCCCCGCTAACTCCCTTCACTGCTTGAAGTAGCTCCCCCTCTAACCCCCTTCACTACTTGAGGTTGCTCCCCCTCTAACACCCTATACGACTTGAGGTAGCTCCCCCTCTGACACCCTACACTACTTGATGTAGCCCCCCCTCTAACACCCTACATTACTCGAGGTATCTCCCCCTCGAATACCCTACATTACTTGAGGTAGCTCAGCAGTAACCAAATGAGCTATATATAGCTCATTTGGTTACTGCTGAGCTACCTCAAGTAATGTAGCTTCCCCTCTTACACCCTACACTACTTGAGGTTACACCCTACATTACTTGAGGTCGCTCCCCCTCTAACACCCTACCCTAATGAGGTAGTTCCCCCTCTAACTCCCTACACTACTTGAAGTAGCCTTCAGAGAGCAAGGTTCCTGTTGACTCGAGTCAGGGTCAATGTCTACCTTATTTATGTTGTAGGGAAATGTTCTTGTAGCTCCCCCTCTAACCCCCCACACTACTTGAGGTAGCTCCCCCGCTAACACCCTACATTACTCGAGGTAGCTCCCCCTCGAATACCCTACACTACTCGAGGTAGCTCCACCTCTAACACCCTATACTACTCGAGGTAGCTCCCCCTCTTACACCCTACATTACTTGTGGTAGCTCCCCCTCTAACACCCCTACAACACCCTACACTACTTGAAGTAACTCCCCCTCGAACACCCTACACAACTTGAGATAGCTCCCACTCTAACACCCTACACAACTTGAGGTAGCTCCCACTCTAACACCCTACACAACTTGAGATAGCTTCCCCTCTAACACCCTACACTAATGAGGTATTTCCCCCTCTAACACCCTACACAACTTGAGATAGCTCCCACTCTAACACCCTACACTACTTTAGGTAGCTCCCCCTATTACACCTTACACTACTTGAAGTAGCTCCCACTCTAACACCCTACACTACTTTAGGTAGCTCCCCCTATTACACCTTACACTACTTGAAGTAGCTCCCCCTCGAACACCCCACACAACTTGAGGTAGTTCCCACTCTAACACCCTATACTACTTGGGGTAGCTCCCCCTCTAACACCCTTCACTACTTGAAGTAGCTCCCCCTCGAACACCCCACATAACTTGAGGTAGTTCCCCCTCTAACCCCCTACACTACTCGAGGTAGCTCCCCCTGTTAATGGGAGTAGTTGTTGAACATAAATCTTCAGAGAGCAAGGTTCCTGTTGACTCGAGTCAGGGTCAATGTCTACCTTATTTATGTTTTAGTGAAATGTTCTTGTAGCTCCCCCTCTAACTCCCTACACTACTTGAAGTAGCCTTCAGAGAGCAAGGTTCCTGTTGACTCGAGTCAGGGTCAAGGTCTACCTTATTTATGTTGTAGTGAAATGTTCTTGTAGCTCCCCCTCTAACTCCCTACACTACTTGAAGTAGCCTTCAGAGAGCAAGGTTCCTGTTGACTCGAGTCAGGGTCAATGTCTACCTTATTTATGTTGTCGTTAAATGTTCTTGTAGCTCCCCCTCTAACTCCCTACACTACTTGAAGTAGCGCCCCCTCTAACACCCTACACAACTTGAAGTAGCTCCCCCTCGAACAACCTACACAACTTGAGGTAGTTTCCCCTCTAACACCCTAAACTACTTGAGGTAGCTCCCCCGCTAACTCCCTTCACTGCTTGAAGTAGCTCCCCCTCTAACACCCTTCACTACTTGAAGTAGCTCCCCCCCGAACACCCTACACAAATTGAGGTAGTTCCCCCTCTAACACCCTACACGACTTGAAGTAGCTCCCCCTCTTACACCCTACATTACTTGAGGAAGCTCCCCCTCAAACACCCTACACAACTTGAGGTAGCTCCCACTCTAACACCCTAAACTACTTGAGGTAGCTCCCCCGCTAACACCCTACATTACTCGAGGCAGCTCCCCCTCTAACACCCTAAACAACTTGAAGTAGCTCCCCCTCTATGAACATAAATCTTCAGAGAGCAAGGTTCCTGTTGACTCGAGTCAGGGTCAATGTCTACCTTATTTATGTTGTCGTTAAATGTTCTTGTAGCTCCCCCTCTAACCCCCCACACTACTTGAGGTAGCTCCCCCCCTTACACCCTACATTACTCGAGGTAGCCCCCCCTCTAACACCCTATACTCCTTGAGGTAGCTCCCCCTCTAATACCCTACACTACTTGAAGTAGCTCCCACTCTAACACCCTACACAACTTGAGATAGCTCCCACTCTAACACCCTACACAACTTCAGGTAGCTTCCCCTCTAACACCCTACACTACATGAAGTAGCTCCCCCTCGAACACCCTACACAACTTGAGATAGCTCCCCCTCTAACACCCTCTAACACCCTACACTACATGAGGTAGCTCCCCCTCTAACAAGTAACGTATTAAAATAAATAATGTAGCGAGTCCTATTATCATACAATCAATTTTGACAATAAATAAACCCTAGCCAAGATATTTTTTGGGGAAAAAAACTGCATACAATGAGCTTCATTTCATATGGTCTCAACACAAATCTGTCCATGTTAACAGATTATCTCCCTTGCACTACAAAACCCCCCTTCAACCTCGTATCAAAACTAGTAGAACACTACTTGAGGTAGCCCCCCCTCTAACACCCTACACTCCTTGAGGTAGCTCCCCTTCTTACACCCTACATTACGTGAGGTAGCTCCCCCTCTAACGCCCTACACCCCTTGAAGTAGCTCCCCCTCTAACCCCCTTCACTACTTGAGGTTGCTCCCCCTCTAACACCCTACCCTACTCGAGGTAGCTCCCCCTCTTACACCCTACCCAACTTGAAGTAGCTCCCACTCTAACACCCTACACTACATGAGGTAGCTCCCCCTCTAACGCCCTATACTACTTGAGGTAGCTCCCCCTCTAACACCCTTCACTACTTGAGGTTGCTCCACCTCTAACACCCTATACTACTTGAGGTAGCTCCCCCTCTAACACCCTACATTACTCGAGGTAGCTCCCCCTCTAACACCCCTACACTACACGAGGTAGCTCCCCCTCTAACACCCCTACACTACTTGAGGTAGCTCCCCCTAAAACACCCTACACTACTCGAGGTAGCTCCCCCTCTAACACCCTACACAACTTGAGGTAGCTCCCACCTGAAACACCCTACACTACTTGAGGTAGCTCCCACCTGTAACACCCTACACTACTTGAGGTAGCTCCCCCTCTAACAAGTAACGTATTAAAATAAATAATGTAGCGAGTCCTATTATCATACAATCATTTTTGACAATAAATAAACCCTAGCCAAGATATTTTTTGGGGAAAAAAACTGCATACAATGAGCTTCATTTCATATGGTCTCAACACAAATCTGTCCATGTTAACAGATTATCTCCCTTGCACTACAAAACCCACCTTCAACCTCGTATCAAAACTAGTATATCCAAATAATGCTCAAAAAGTCTCTTTGTCAATACAATATCTATGGCACTACATTATACATCTCGTACAACAAAACATGTATCCAAATAAAGCTGAAAAATCATTGCCAATACAATAGTAGGGTGTTGACAAGGAAGGTGTCTGGCGTAAATCCAATACAGACAAGAGATAAGTGGGCGTTAGTCAATAATTTATGCTGCTTCATGCTACCAGGAGATAATAGACAAGCTTATTCCTCATGCAAGCCTTCGTCACTTACCTAACTCTCGGGTTTCTTTAATATATGTATACACAGTTATAACCATCCATACATTAAATCCAAGTATATTGATAAAAACTGTATCAACCTATTATCTCTTAGTTAACTTAATTGAATCGCCAACTACAAAAATCAGTACATAATTTATTCATCCGACTTATATTTTCAAAACTTTTTATTTATTGCAATCTTTTTTTAAACTACAATTATCTGTTTTAACATTTAAATAATATGTATCATATTAAAAAAAAATCTTAAAGAAAAGACAATTTATGTTAAAATATCAGAACTACCAAGAACATACAGTTAAGTACAAAATGTTACTAGCACTACGTCTAAATGCAGGACCAGGAACTCTAGCCGTTACACAGCCGCCGCCACAATCACCTTGCTTTTTAGAGGTGGTTCAAGCGTATAGCAATTTTTGTTTGCAACTTACAGGAATGCATACATACAGGTACTATTTATAGTACAAGGAAGCATCTCGACCGAAACACTTTAATAGCTGCAGCTTTTGAATGAGAATTATAAGATTACTTTCCACTGAATTTAAAGCTAGGTAATACAGAGGAATTGCATAATTCTGGAGGCAAGTATTTCTAACAGCACAGGATATAGATTATATTTATAAGTGTTGCAAAGCAAAGCAAAGCAAATTTTAAAACAGGATTTAAAACATTATCATCCTTATTTTTGAAATGATAGAAGTTTTTGTGGGTATTGGAAAGTCTGTTCAAACCATTCTGGGTATTCTCAAATGTTATGGATTACCATCATATGTGTAGCATGCTGATGTATATAACAGAATCCAGGTATATCTTACACAAGTCCGAGAGTGCAGGATATATGGTTCCATGCGTTAAGTAGGGTATATACTTGTATATTAGATTGATGGAGCTGTTAATTGGGAATAAAGGAATAATTTCCCCAGAAATGAGTATATCTTTTTCTGAAAACGGATACATTTCTTTCCATGCTTTTCTATACACTTATCTAGATTTTACAGGCACGTTCTCAATAGTTGTATTCCCGTCACCTAGGTTTGGGGCCGAAGTACTCCTTTTGCCTGTTTTGACCCGAAACAGAGATTTGCCCAGACTCGGGAACCCCCTAGACTTTCGTACTTCTGTGTGATCCAAGTCCGCGCTCTGAACACGATCTTTAGGTAACGTACCAAAACTGTTGTTGTTACTCCCGTTACTGTAGCCTTCCTGATGGTTGTTGTTTGAAACCGGCTTTTTCTGCAATGAGAAAGTAATAATATGTTAATTAATCATTTATTCCAACACAAAGTATATAATTGATCAACTTGCAATTGATTTGTCTTTGGATAATTACATATTGATTTATTCAGAAAGCTAAATAAAGAAAAAATGTCAATATGTTGTGAGTATAAGTGTAATCTCCCAAAATATACTCCTCCGTAGTTTAAAATATCAACCTTATTTATTTTACAAAAATTATGAAATAGATTTCTCACACTTATATGAGTCCCTCTTGTTGGCCCTGATGTTTGCCTGTTTTGACCAAAAACAGAGATTTGCCCAGACTCGGGAACCCCCTAGACTTTTGTATTTTCATGTGGGAGGAAACTAGAGTACCCGGAGAAAACCAGTGACGTGGGGCAAGTGACCCGGAATTCTCTCAATAAAACCTGGCTTACTTTTGATATCTATATAAGCATTGATGGACCAATCTTTGTAGAGCATTCTCTATGAATCTGTGAAAGGCGATTAATATTCTAGAGTTACTTCTGCCTTTATTGGACTTTTAGAATGGTGATTCTAACTTGCATTTATTTCAAATTGGTGGGTTGGAATTATTTCATTGGTGCTGTTACATATAATTTGATTGTTCAATGTCATATTTTTTTGATTGGTTGGTGTGACCTACTTTTGGGTTGATCTGTGGACCTTATTTTTTATTGGTTAGGGTGACCTATTTTTGGATTTGTTGGCATGACCTACTGTTTGATTGGTTGATGCGACCTACTTTTTGATTGGTGGGTGTGACGTCCTCGGCACTGTTTGACCGCTGTATGCCGGGTGTTCTGTGGGAAGGGGTAGACATCTGACTGGATGGTGAGGGGGTGTTGTTTCCATTGTCCAGGTAGGAGTGGACTGCAATAGGAACAAACGTATCTTATAATAGCTGCAAGTTATTTCTCGACAGATAAGAAAACACTCCAGAGATAATTTTTTGAGTTGGTGAGTTGTATGACATTCAACAAACACAATAAAATTTATTATAACTATAATTGAAATCACATCTTCTATTTTTTGTTTTTTCAATGCATTGTTCAACAGATCTTTTAAATAGTCTGTTTATCTGTAGTTTTTTTCATTATCCAGACAATTTCTACACACCACAGGCTTACAGTATATGTTCCCTTTACTTTAATCCATTTCATGTTAAATGCCAAATCCCCCCCAACCAAATAAATGGATGAATAATGGAACAACTGGGATTTCCCCGACATCAGTGGCCAAAGAATGAATAACTGGATCTGTATTGACAGAACAAATCCAGTGGTCAGCAGTTTGGGTATGTGGTCCACTGTAAAAGTTACTACACTCGACGTGTTTTATTGTTACTGACAAGTAATACAGGTCTGCACTTACCTGGAGTACTAGTGGCACTTGGGTGGTGTCTGTCGTAACCTTCATGCTGTAAAACAGAATTATTTCCTCAATCTTGTCATCTTAAATTCAATTTGTTTAGTAAATCACTTAGCCCTTAATATGTTTGGGTATAAAAGTTTGGGGGAAAAAAGTCTACCATTAAAAAAACATAATTTGATAAGAGCCTTCAATTCACTGTAGCAAAGTTCCACACAGATAACTGTAATCCCTAATGACTAGACAACATCGAGTGAGCAGAGAAAACATCTGTTATAGCCTCAACCTGAGTCACAGGGTCTTGTAGCTATAATTAGATGTTCCTTTCTGAGAACATTTTATATCACTGTGAAGTTTGTTATCCATGGTTCTGTTACTTGTGTCCACGGCCTGGACTACATTCTTAAAGTTAAGCAATTCTTTACTTATCTGCAGCTGATTGAAGAAATTTACCAACAAAATTTAATTCCTCAACATTTCGTACTGATAAAGAGTAAAATTAACTTTGCCAGAAGGAGCTTCTTATAGTTGTATACTATGATAACTTCTTAATGTACTGTTACCTCTGTAGCCTACCTGGTCCCTGGGGACACTGTCAGACACGGACAGGGTGGTAGAACTTGTCAAACTCACCTGGTCCCTGGGGACACTGTCAGACACAGACGTGGTGGTAGAACTTGACAAACTCACAAGGTCCCTGGGGACACTGTCAGACACGGACGGGGCGGTAGAACTTGTCAAACTCACCTGGTCCCTGGGTACACTGTCAGACACAGACGTGGTGGTAGAACTTGTCAAACTCACCTGGTCCCGGGGGACACTGTCAGACACAGACGGGGTGGTAGAACTTGTCAAACTCCCCTGGTCCCTGGGGACACTGTCAGACACGGACGGGGTGGTAGAACTTGTCAAACTCCCCTGGTCCCTGGGGACACTGTCAGACACGGACGGTGTGGTAGAACTTGTCAAACTCACCTGGTCCCTGGGGACATTGTCAGACACAGACGGGGTGGTAGAACTTGTCAAACTCCCCTGGTCCCTGGGGACACTGTCAGACACGGACGGTGTGGTAGAACTTGTCAAACTCACCTGGTCCCTGGGTACACTGTCAGACACAGACGTGGTGGTAGAACTTGTCAAACTCACCTGGTCCCGGGGGACACTGTCAGACACAGACGGGGTGGTAGAACTTGTCAAACTCCCCTGGTCCCTGGGGACACTGTCAGACACGGACAGGGTGGGAGAACTTGTCAAACTCACCTGGTCCCTGGGGACACTGTCAGACACAGACAGGGTGGTAGAACTTGTCAACCTCACCTGGTCCCTGGGGACACTGTCAGACACAGACTGGGTGGTAGAACTTGTCAAACTCACCTGGTCCCAGGGGACACTGTCAGACACGGACGGGGTGGTAGAACTTGTCAAACTCGCCTGGTCCCTGGGGACACTGTCAGACACAGACGTGGTGGTAGAACTTGACAAACTCACAAGGTCCCTGGGGACACTGTCAGACACGGACGGGGTGGTAGAACTTGTCGAACTTGTGTCATCTTCTGCACTGATGATCATATCTTCTAAAGCTGTAAATAAACGTGTACAAGAATTATTTCAAAAAGCATGATATACTGTAAACCTCTAAATGTTTGAAGGAGTTAGTTCAAAATTGAAGCAAATTAAAGACTTTTTCAAGACTTAAGTTTGCTGAAATCCTGAGAATTATAAATTATATTGATATATGTTTCAAATTTTAAGGAAATTTAATAACATATTTTATAGGAAGCTTTTAGGATACAAATTCTTTTTAAAGAAATTGTGGATGAATTTCATTTTACCACCGCACCTGTCTATTTTTCTTCCAAACTACAACCGTTTCTATTAATAGTCAACACTTAAACCTTGTCTACAAGTGTTTCCCTGCAACACTAGTACAACCCTGCCTTTTTACCTTTCCTTCCTTGAGCTTGTATCACCATTTCCTCAATTTTTCTGTAACGTTTTAATAATTTTCTTAATTCATCTATTCTTTTATCCTGGAAAAGGAAAAGTGAATTAATGATAATTATGAAATATTATTTTACTTACTAGTCAAAGATGTCTTTGAGCATGAGCCATTTTTAACAAATTAATAACAACTTTTTTTTAAAACTATCAAGGCAATTAAAACAATCTTTGCTTTTTAAATACATATCAAAATTTCAAAACAATTTCTATTACCTTTTCTTGGTTAGAGAACATTAAGGCATCTACAGCTTTCTTTAACTTTTTGACTTCATATTCTGAAAAAAACACCACATTATTTAAAGATTATTGCTAGGATCCAGTTTCCCTGTAATAGATATGCAGAGTCCAGAAGTAATAGTATACTTGGGTTAAAATCACTACACGAATACAGAAGTTATACCCCACAACTGACAGCTGATTCTTGCATACATGTTTAAAATGAAAACAGTGATATTTGTATATGGATGCAACTATGATATACTGTGGTAAATAATAAAATTTGTGTAAGTCAATGATTTAATGCTTGACATATCATTCACTCCAAATAAAATCTAAAGGATACAACTGTAAGCAGTAAATATTTTTAAACTCATATCATTAATGCAACTTAATATACAATAAAACTTAAAAGTGAATACATAGTGTCTTTTGTATTGACAAATGAAATTAAATAAATGAAGACGCAGAAAACATAATAAAACAGCATGCAGATTGTTATAAATGTAATCTTCAAAAGCTGGCCATAACCTAGCTGTCAATTCAACAAGTATATATCAAATGATGAAAGGAGAAAAGAGCGTTTCTGACATAATAGTTATGACCAACTTTTGAAGGTGTTTTACTTTTCCATGCAATTCCTTTTACAGCTAGAGTCTCTCTATTTACAACCAGGAGTCGATTCAGCCCTAACCACCACTACCAACAATCAGTACTAGCTGATTTATTCTAGATATTATCAGTGTAGAAAGATTCACACTTGTATAAGTATAATAAAATGGTTTATTTATTTTTTGTTTGTTTAAATGGTTGGAATTAATTGTGTATCTCTAGGATATATGCTATCATAATGATGACAAAAGAGTGTAATCGTAATGATGACAAAGGTGTGTAATCGTTATGATGACAAAGGTGTGCGATCGTAATGATGACAAAGGTGTTTAATCGTAATAATGACAAAGGTGTGAATCGCAATGATGACAAAGGTGTGTAATCGTAATGACAAAGGTGTGCAATCGTAATGATTACAAAGGTGTGTAATCGTAATGACAAAGGTATGTAATCGTAATGATGACTAAGGTGTGTAATCGTAATGATGATTAAGGTGTGTAATCGCAATGACAAAGGTGTGCAATCGTAATGATTACAAAGGTGTGTAATCGTAATGATGATAAAGGTATGTTATCGTACTGATGACAAAGGTGTGGAATCGTAATGATGACAAAGCTGTGTAATCGTAATGATCACAAAGGTGTGTAATCGTTATGATGACAAAGGTGTTTAATCGTAATGATGAAAAAGGTATGTAATCGTGATGATGACAAAGGTGTGGAATCGTAATGATTACAAATGTGTGTAATCGTAATGATGACAAAGGTATGTAATCGTAATGATGATTAAGGTGTGTAATCGTAATGACAAAGGTGTGCAATCGTAATGATTACAAAGGTGTGTAATCGTAATGATGACAAAGGTGTGTAATCGTAATGATGATAAAGGTGTGTAATCGTAATGATGATTAAGGTGTGTAATCATAATGATGACAAAGGTGTGTAATCGTAATGATGACTAAGGTGTGTAATCGTAATGATGATAAAGGTATGTTATCGTGATGATGACAAAGGTGTGTAATCGTAATGATTACAAAGGTGTGTAAACGTAATGATGACAAAGGTATGTAATCGTAATGATGACAAAGGTGTGTAATCGTAATTATGACAAAGGTATGTAATCGTAATGATGACTAAGGTGTGTAATCGTAATGATGATAAAGGTATGTTATCGTAATGATGACAAAGGTGTGTAATCGTAATGATTACAAAGGTGTGTAAACGTAATGATGACAAAGGTATGTAATCGTAATGATGACTAAGGTGTGTAATCGTAATGATGATAAAGGTATGTTATCGTGATGATGACAAAGGTGTGTAATCGTAATGATTACAAAGGTGTGTAATCGTAATGATGACAAAGGTATGTAATCGTAATGAAGACAAAGGTGTGTAATCGTAATGATGACAAAGGGGTGTAATCGTAATGATGACAAAGGTGTGTAATCGTAATGATGACTAAGGTGTGTAATCGTAATGATGACAAAGGTGTGCGATCGTAATGATGACAAAGGTGTGTAATCGTAATAATGACAAAGGTGTGTAATCGTAATGATGATAAAGGAGTGTAATCGTAATGATGATTAAGGTGTGTAATCATAATGATGACAAAGGTGTGTAATCGTAATGATGACTAAGGTGTGTAATCGTAATGATGACAAAGGTGTGCGATCGTAATGATGACAAAGGTGTGTAATCGTAATTATGACAAAGGTATGTAATCGTAATGATGACTAAGGTGTGTAATCGTAATGATGATAAAGGTATGTTATCGTAATGATGACAAAGGTGTGTAATCATAATGATTACAAAGGTGTGTAATCGTAATGATGACAAAGGTATGTAATCGTAATGATGACTAAGGTGTGTAATCGTAATGATGATAAAGGTATGTTATCGTAATGATGACAAAGGTGTGTAATCATAATGATTACAAAGGTGTGTAATCGTAATGATGACAAAGGTGTGCGATCGTAATGATGACAAAGGTGTGTAATCGTAATGACAAAGGTGTGTAATCGTAATGATGACAAAGGTTTGTAATCGTAATGATGACTAAGGTGTGTAATCGTAATGATGATAAAGGTATGTTATCGTGATGATGACAAAGGTGTGTAATCGTAATGATGACAAAGGTTTGTAATCGTAATGATGACTAAGGTGTGTAATCGTAATGATGACAAAGGTGTGCGATCGTAATGATGACAAAGGTGTGTAATCGTAATGATGATAAAGGAGTGTAATCGTAATGATGATTAAGGTGTGTAATCATAATGATGACAAAGGTGTGTAATCGTAATGATGACAAAAGTGAGTGGTCAATGATGAAATACAGCAATGCAGATGTGACAACTATGAGAGGTATAGATGACCAGATGTGACAACTGAGACAAAGATCAGATGCAAAAAGTTTCATGGGACACAAATGAAACATGAAAATGACTGAACATTATATGCCCTGGTGCATGATTTCTAGCAAATCTAATGGTGATAGGATAATATAATGGACCTCTAGTATTGCTGTCTGATTATATTTATTAATTGATAATACACCAGTACATGATAAAAAATTCTAAATGTGTCGCTATAAAGCCTACACACTAGTCGTGGGGTGTATGCAGGTCAACATCTACATTGTGACTACACATATATACCATGGTCAGGCGGAAAGTACCCAACTTACCCCATGGTAACACCCTACGTCTAGGAGCTGCTTGAAACAAAAAAATCTAGGGTTAAGAATGGTAGAAATCAAAATAGAAGTAAAACTTGACTAATAGTATGCATCCTATTCATGCAATACTGATAGCCATGTTTGTTCTGACTATAAGATCTTCTATATAAAATGGCATACCTCTAGTCTCTAGTCCTATTTATACTGTTTACTAAACCATCCCTGTCAAGAAATTATGTTCGTCAAATATGGGGCTGAGGATTTCTGTGACTGTACTAGCGTTGTGCCCATTTTAATAGGTTAAAATTAAGACAGCAAACAATATTAATCAGTTCAAATAGTAAATGTAAACTGAATATTTTTCTTGCCAATTTACATGCAAAATTACATCAAGAGTTTTACAAATACTGGGATTAGCAAACCCCCCAAAAAGTTGGATATAGTGAAAGCAAAGATGCATCCCTTTTAAATCTATTTGGAGAGCTATCAAAACCAGTGTTTTGTACCCCAAATACACAGAAAATTTGACTATCGGTACAAAGGTCAAGAAAACAATTAAATACAGTACAAGTACAGGTACAATGTACCTTGACAAAACCTATAACTTAGGACCAGGATGTAACTAAGTTTAAACAAATTATAAAGATATCATTAATATTTAAGCTTATATCCATTTTATTACATACTTTAGGTCCCCTTAAACCTGACCTACAATTGTATCACTGAAAAATACTACACAAGTACAGTCATGTCTCATCATGTGTGTATAAATTCCTTGTCAAAAGATGATTCCGTTTTTACTAATGAACTGACTATAATCTGTACACATGTACCAGTAGTGAATTAGGTTGAATACATGTTTACAAACTTTAATGAATGACTTATGGTAATGGAGTCTGTTAATCCCAGCTCAAACATGTTTGATTTCAGCCCTAGGGACTTACATCCTAGCTAACCATGGCCAGGAGTGCAACTTACAATACAGCTAAAACTACCTACACAAAGCAATGCAGTCAAAATGACAGGCTGAACACCATAAATGGTAACTAAGAAGTATTTTGCGATTAAAATGTTTTACGTTTGACAATTGAATTGATAAAAGTAACTGTTACAAGACCTTGACTAACCAAGACAAGGATGGCTATTACAGAGAAATAATGATTTCTCTTTTACTTCCTGCTGCTTTAACAAAGAAGATTCATTGTTCTTGACCTTTTGAAGTATGCCGACTACTAAGCTTCTACTGTAGATACAACCAGGCGTTTTTAAAATTCTGTTTTGGAATGAAACAGCTAAACAAGGCATCTGCAGGAAAAGAATTGATGAAAAAGACGCCGCCCGCTACAATGAAAGATCGCTCAACAAGCCCACACCAAACAGGTTAGATTCTGGGTAACAGAATTAGTATGCTTCCAGGAAATTTAAAATGGTTGGTGGAGAAAAATTTGGTGAGCACCACCAAAGATCTATCTTACGTTTGCGTTTTAGTCTATCTAATGTTTTCTCTTTCTCTACAGGGCGGTCACTAACACTGAGTAAAGACTCTGATCCTGAAATACAACCGACATTGCATGAAAATCTCTTAGTTTTCTTTTCTACACTTTTTGATAACTTCAGTGTCAAACCTAAAGCATGAAAGTCTCTTATTTATCTTGCATTATTTTTTTTATCAATATCTCTCAATTCTGATCTGACTAAACCGTTTGATGTTAAATGAATTCTGAGTAATTTTGTCGCAGACATTTCATCAAGCTAGATGGACTATGAACCAATCTCAAATGTTAGGTTTAACTGATATTCAAAAAGAATATTCAGCAACTTTTACTGAGTATGTCATGGTACATTTTTATCTTTACTCAAATAGAGGCACAACTGAGCAGTATCCAAATACGTATATCAATTTCTTATTTTATTCAATATTAATTGTGTTATAAAATCAAATGTACATTGAATAATTACAGACTAAAAAAAACATAGAGAAATACAAAAGCTGATTAACCGAAGACGAACATTTCAATATAAATTTGATAAAATACCAGAGAAAGCACGTTTCTTTTGAATTGTTATTATTTAAAGAAGATATTAATGAGAAATTGAAGCAATTCCAAGCAGGAGCAGTTGACCATTACTGGCAACAGTGTTAAAATAATGAGCAACTGAATGTAGCTAACACGTCAAAGCAATGACACTTGTGTTGGTTATGTATGATAGGCACTGCAAACAAGTGTGAAGAGTAATCTCCCTTGTAGATTACACATTAAAATTGGTAGACTATTTATATTAACATCAAGGTTATTTCATATCTTCTATTTTTCCACCATTAAATTAACGCCAATGCTAACACTACAATTATAAACCTACAATGATATTGCCCCTACCCTGTTTTAGTTATTGCTATAAAACCTTAACTGTTGAGGTGGGGCTAGCCTACCGTTGGAGTCGGGGGTCAACACGGTACCGTTGCGCACCAGTCGCTGACGCAGCTCTGTGATCTCCGCGTCTTTCAAGGCCATCTTCGATTCCACTTCTTTGATTTGTCTCTGTATTAATGGGACATCAATTTATTATGATCAGGTGTGACTATCACTTCATTTTAATTTTAGACTAAACAGTATTATATACTGGTGCTCACAGGGCCGCTACCCATTGAGCCAAAACATGTCAATACATCAAGATTCTGCCATGTAATACCGACACGCCATCTTTCCCAAATTCATGTATTTCATACCGTATAGATCCAATAAATTTCCCCCATCAACCCATACATAACATTTCTTTCAAATTTGCCTGTTTTGAAATTCTTCTTTTAGTTTTGTTATTTAAAAAATTTCTATATTTTAATTCTAAGGTATCGTGAACCATTTCCAAAAAATGGGAAAAGTGTCCCTATCCTTTTGTTTAAAACCGATACTGTTCTATTTTACCAAGGATTGATTGAGGATAAAGTAAACTATGCAACAGAAAGTCCAGGAAATGAAATAAGTGATCAAGATCACTTCAAACTTTTCCCCCTTGAATTGTAATTAACTGGAAAAAACTCTACCAGGAACAAAAAGGCTTAACATACGGTATTTCCATTAATAAAAGACAATGTTAACTGATGAAAGCAATGTACCAAGCATGGCAGACTGTAATATATATTGTTTATTGTAACAGTATTACCTTTTCTCCAGGAACTGGTAAAAATGTGTAATTCTGGGCAATCTACTTCATAATGCTGTTAAATTTTGACACAGGAAGTAATGCTTTTTTCACTGATACAAATGTAATGACATCTACCATTGTATTAAACACAAAATGTCTTAAACATAAACTCTTGTACACAAGTTACCCACATAATTACCAACATCTGCAAGCAATTTGTCTCAACCCCAATAAGCTTCCATAAAATATCAATTCCAAGTCCTATCCACTGTAAGTACTGTGTATACCATCATTCCTGTTAATACAGACCCAAATGGAATTGAATGTGTCTTATCTCATCAAATCCATAGTCACAAATGTTTTCCATTACTTCTTATCAAACTGGAAACCTTCTTCTATTCTGACAGAGGCCAGCATATGCTACCGAAAGATATCCCAGAAAAATCATTTTACGTATTTTCTCAGAATGTGCCAAAAATAATAATTTCATTATACGGTAACAGTGTGGATGTATCCAGACCAGTACTCTGCTGTAATATGTTCATAAAGAAACCATTCTGTGTAATACAACTTGTATCTACCATGTAGATATCTGCCAATTCCCAACATGAAATTAAGGTCTGTAAATTACCAGGAATTAGCCAAATCTTGGTTAAGTGGTGTACTGTCTGGTTGCAAAGTTCTGTAGCTTTATATACAATGCTGCCAAACAGTGCCCGCACTAGATGTAACTCTACCTTCGTATACAATGATGCCAAACAGTGCCCGCACTAGATGTACACTACCTTCGTATACAATGCTGCCAAACAGTGCCCACACTAGATGTACTCTACCTTCGTATACAATGCTACCAAACAGTGCCCGCACTAGATTTAACTCTACCTTCGTATACAATGCTGCCAAACAGTGCCCGCACTAGATGTACACTACCTTCGTATACAATG